CAGCAACTTAGGGTCTGTCTCAAAATAAAGGATAAAACAGGCTGGGATTGGTCCGGTGGTTGAGTGAGTGTCCTTGAGCTCAACCCCTGGCACCAAAAACAAAGATGAAGGGGCTAAGAGGGGACTAAGGACATCCTCTGAAGGTGAGGTCACTAGGGGAGCCTCTTGCGGTGTCTGGTTTTGGGCGTTGACTGGGCCAAGGGGGACCCCACAGCAGAGCACACTTGCTGGGTGGTCCCTGGAGGTGCTTCTGGGGGAAACTAGACAATCCCGTCCCACCAATGCCCACAGGTGTCACCTGTCCTCCACAGCAGAGGCAGGGGGAACTCACTCTATGGGGACCGGCACAGCCCTTGGCCATCGCACCACAGGTTCCTGTACCCCCCCACCCCAGCATCTCGGACCCTTGGCTCAGGACTGGGAGCTTCACCCCAGGTCCCCCCAGGTTCCCAGGCCTCCAGCTTGCCCAGGGCAGATCCTGTGACCCGGGTCCTAGGAGTAAGGCACTTTTTGTTACAGCAGCACCGACTGACTCGTACTACCTGTGTCCTCATGGGTCGACCAAACCGAGACGGGCCCAGAGGCCTGAGAACTGGAGGCTGAATTATTTGTATTCACTGATGATTTAACAGTTTGCCACCCAAGAGGACAAGTGTCACAAAGCTGGTGCAATCGTTCGGGAAACGAGAGGACGTTCAGAGGCTGAGCCTGGCCTCCCAGCCTCCCCCAGGTGCAGCCCCAGCATCTGAATCATCCCATGTGTCTCTGGTCGTCCATGGGCCTTTATTTCACTCATTTCTTACACACGGAGCTGAGAATCGAACCCGGGGCCTCACGCGTGCCAGGCCAGCGCTCTGTCCTGGCCCCACCTGGCCGCCCAGCAGACACCTGTGGAGGCCCAGGCATGTGGGAGGCCGGCTGGGTGGGGACATCACCATGCCTGGTCGGAGCCCTTGAGTGTGGACAAGTCCAGAGACAGTCCCCAAGTGACAGAAATCGGGGCAGCTCTGCGGGCACCAAGACGATGTTCCCGTGCGCGTCGCAGTGGCTCCTGCCACGGGACACAGCGGCCGCACCCCTGGCTGAGGAGCAGAGGGGCTGCGCAGGCCCGCCCAGGCTTTGCGGCTGGGAGGGCAGGAGGCCGTTTTCCAAGTGACAGTGGCAGAGGGGCAGATGTACCTTGGGCCCAGAGAGGCCACCTGTCCTGCAGTTTCCCAGTGTCACATGCTCAGGGTAGGGGACATCTGCACAGCCAAACTGCGTGACTCAGTGAATACTGAGCCCACGTCCTTGACCCCCTGTGACACTGGCATGTGGCACCCTTGCTGTGCCCGCCCGGAAGCCAGATGGCTCCAAACGCCAGGGGTGGTGGTGAGCGGGGTGACAGCCCAGTGGAGGCCCAGGACAGAGTCAGGTGGTGACATGCCCCATGAGGAAGGTCAGGAGGGGTCTCCAGGACTCCGAAAGGTGCTCAGGAGGGACGTTCCAGGCCGGGAGCCGCGGCCACCTTGAGCCTCCAGTGGAGCTCCTGGCTGGTTTGAGGCCGGCTCTGGCCTCCCGGCCTCCCCTTAGTGCAGCCTCCACTCCTGATGACCCAGAACATTCTACCCCCGTGACTGACAGCGCACACGGAGGTGCTTGTGGGTCAGGTCTGCTTCCTGGGCCTCGGCGTGGGACGTGGTCACCCGGCTAGAGGGGACCTCTCCACACCCCAGCTGCCACCCGAGTGTCCACCTCTGGTGCCTGAGCCTCCAGGAGTCAGGGAGTCCAGGCAGAGTCCCTTCTGGGCCGGGACTGACCTCCTGACGTCCGTGTCTTCTGGGGAAGCCACTGGCAGCGGAGCCCCAAGGCATGTCCCCTTCCACACTGTCCCCCGAGTCCTACCCACAATCCTGCCCTGTGGACACTGCGCCCGTTTCCCCAGGGACACGCCTGGCCTCTACCAGAAATGGTGGCCTCTAGAGCTGGCGGCGCCCCTACCCTTCCAGATGGCTGTTCTGGGGACCTGGCCCTGCCCCTGCCCGCCCATGTCCCCACCCCACCCTGATGCACTCGGCTCAGC